ATCTCTTAATTCCTAACTCAACGTGATTATGAAACACTTGTGCATTCACTTCAAATGAACCAGATTATTGTGGTGCTCGCTATGCTGGACTCCCTAATAATACAAACTGAGAATAATCTAAAAAGCTCTTAAACACACACCTTTTTAATCTTACATATAACTGACTTTCAGTAGTACAACTGTAAAGGTGGATTGACCATTAGCAGACACAAAACAGGTGATTTCTTGATTATTTTCATATTACTCTATATCTATTACTTCCAAGTTTGTGTCAATAAATTTCTCTCTGCATCTCCCTCTCTCTTCTTTTTCTCTGTTTTATACATCTTAAAGTATGATTTATATATGAATAGACGGTAATTTTAAGTATTTATGATTGTCTTTATTTTCGAGTTCAAATAAAAGTGAGTGGATTTGACAGAATATCACAGAGGCAATGTGAAAGGCCTGAAAACCTCCAAATATTTCATTTGCTTATTGTGTATAAGTTCAGCTAGAATTTTGAACTTCTACAATGGATAAATTACTTACCGAACTCACTGATATTTTCCAAAACTAGGACGTAAATTACATCAACACTGTCCTCTTTCATTTGGATTTATTGGAGCTAACTTCCAAGTGTCCTGACAAATGGTTTCAGAGCTGTAACGTATACTCGTACCTCCTCCTGAACTGGTCAGTGCCAGAGGCGGGTGCGTCTCCATGCTCTTGTGCAGTGTGGCCACAGCCAGCAGCTTCCTCTTGTGAATGCAGAGTTTGGTGACATCTTCGTCTGCTTTCACATCCTCCGCTGTCCTCTGTTTGACAGCTGCCCCGGGGTCGAAGTTGAACACCTGAGGAGATAAATAAAAGTGGATAGAAGTCACTGAACTGACTTGGTCATTGTTTTGCTTGTTTACTCACAATCATCAAAGGAGCTTGCAAAGAAAAGCGTCTGGACTTCTTTAAGTTGCTTGAAGATGTTTCACCTCTCATCCGAGAAGCTTCTTCAGTTCTAAGTAGTTTAAGTTTACTCACAATCTTTTTGCTTAATTAATTTACGTTTTGCACCATGTTTCTGTGCTCTCATGCAATGGCCTTTATTGTTAGCCATTTTATTGGTTTTATTCCCCATTTTCTGTCATATATACATATATATCATATACACTGTTAATCAAAATCACCATACCCAGGATGCCTTTTTCATATCTGTCTTTATTTATCAACACATTATCAATTGGGTCAAGCAGTTACACAAAGGTTGAGCACCTCCCCAATGAGAAAAAAAGTGAAGTGCACTGGCAGCACAACAACTGGTTTTACAAAGGAAGATAAAACTGATATAGAACAACATAAAGCAGACTGAAACCAGCACAGCTGCTGCAGACAGCTCAGCAGACTGCGAGTGAGAGTGAAGTGCATTAAAAGCACCGTGTGAATGTGAGAGAGCTTTAAGTGCTTCGGTCAGTACGACTAAAAAGGTGCTGCTGTAATACTAAAGTTTAGCCTATTTGTATCCAGGAAAAAAAACCTGACAGCAGAGATCAACTGGGACCTCTATCATTAAGGTTCCAGTCACATCAGAGCAAGCAGTCTTCTCATGACTAGTAAAAGAGCTAACTTGTCATCCAGGAGTTGAGCATGCAACCTCTGGGCAACCACTTTCAATCTCAAGATCACTATACAGGCAACCTGTCTTCAAACAATCACAGTCCAACTCAGATTGACTGCAATCACCCTCAGATTGGTGAAGGTTTGCAAACAACTGCCAAATAATTTATAAACACAGTCCGATTGCCAACATATGCCTGAGTTTCACTTCTGCAGGGAGTCTTTGCAGAGCCAGGTTTTTTTTTTTGTTTGTTTGCTTTTTAACTTCTTCATAAAATTCTAATGTCCATTTCAGTAGTTTCAGCAATCTCCCAGTAGGAACTCCATATTTACATTGATTATTATTCTTTAAACTGAGGTGATGAATGTTTGTCTCATTGATAAATAAAAAACTGTAGCTGGAAATGCACAGGAGGAGCTAACGGTGCAGAACAGGTTGCTCACAATAGTTGTTGGCTGCTTCAATCCAACACATTTCTTGGGAGGTGCAACTCAGGTTACAGCATAGGATTTTCAGTTATGTTGTAAGTTAGGACGTACATTTCCGGCAGAAGTCTAAATACTATAATCAATCTGAGTCAGTCTGTAAAAACGAGTGCAGACTGACAACTACTTCCTGCAACGCAACTCTTTGCAGTAGGGGACTAAATGTAACTGGTTGTATTCCGATTGTATCACTATATAAAAGAAAGGGTGTAGAACACCTATGGCTGCTATAATTTTATTAATACTGCAGGTCTGCAATCACTGTTTTCCTTAGTCTGATTGTAGCACGAAACAGAGTTGTTTTCATTACACTAAAGGTTAATATTTCGAAACTTTTTTTTTTTTTTAATGTGAACGACAAACACTGGTGTTTGAGGCTATTCGCAACGCTAATAAAAGGTCAACAACTGCCCTTGTTTGCCCAGAGGGATCTTTTAGGAATGATGAGTGAGTGCAAGCTGATTTCATACCCGTTAATGTCAAATCTTAAACAAAGCTTGCTAAGGAGCAGCTTAATTCTCCAGCATAGGTTACTATAGTTATGAGAAGTAAACCTTCATCTTCCTAACACTGAAATTTCCTCACTGCGCCCAAATCCTGCTTCAGAGTGCAGGCCTCAGGTAAAGCCAGCATGCCACAACAATGCCCAGTCATCCGAGAGTGGCTGGGGAAGGATCTTCAAGGAATCGTCCAAGAAATTCCTGTGAATATCAAATAGTATTTTTCCTTGACATACCTGTGCAAAATCAGTACGCATGAAAAACCCTGCTTAAACAGTCCTCTTAGATCAGTGCACACAGAAACATAGATATCCACCCATCCATCCAGTCACCCGTGGGCTTCTAGAGCAACTGCAATTCTTTCAAGAGAAAACTGGGATCTCCTGTGATCATGGATTCACAGATAACAGTAAGCTTATTATCACGCTTTGCAACTAATCAGAGCTCCCCACAAAAAAAGGAAAAGAAAAAAAAGAAAGAAAAGAAAGCATGCTGTGGGCCCAGAATAAGGATGGTGAGGATCAGTTTTGAGGCCAGGAAGCTGCTTCCCCGAGCCACGTGACCACCCCTGAATATTATGTAAATCACATCCAGGTCTGGCAGCACACTATATTTTCCTCACGCTCATCATCTCTTGGGGCTGTCTTAACAGCACAGGCAGTGATGTACATAGACTAAATCGCAGATAAACATGGAGGCAGCGGCTCTCCCAAGCACCTCATGATATGAGTGAGATATGTGATATCCCACATCTTAAGACGGTTAAGATGTAAAAGTGAACTAATGTTTAAGACCAGAAAATGAGTCTTAAAAAATATTTGCATCTTCATTTTCAGATACTAAGAAGACAGCAGGGAGGGGGCACTCATAAGGGAAGACGTGCAGCTACAAAATCATTCTGATAATGGCGTGGAGTGTTGGGGACAAATTTAGCATCAGGAAGGATAATCGGTCAGATTACCCTGTGTAATGTGATGCCTCACATAACCCCAACATTTGTAGTTTGGTCCTACAGAGATCAGTGGGTCAGCTTGGGTTCATTTCATACATCCTAAGTATGAAATAGGAGAGGATTATGCTACAGGAGAGCTTTTCCTGTATACTCTTTTATAATTTCAATCCTGCAATTCACTCTAAGCCACACTGATTTGAGTCTCTGCACACTTTGAAGAATAAAACTTCAGAACCACCATTCAAAGCTGTCAGAGCAGACAATAGAGGCAGTGGTCCTGAAAGGAAACTAGAAGACTCTAAAGTAGAAACTTTGTGACCATACATAACAAAGTAGTTTTTGGAGTTTCTCATCCCGTAGACTCCCAACTCTTCCATTTTGAGCCCAGTATAGGGGACCACCAAAACAACCGCCTAATTGGCATTATCGGTAAGGAAAACTGGAAAGACTGGATGCTAATGGTTTAGCAGCAAGTGAACTTTCAAAATAAGAGTGTGGGGAGTGTCCACTCTAGGGAGTGGCCTAAAAACTGGTTGCCAACCACCTCACTTATTGCCAATGGCTGCACAAACACCGACACCGTGGTCCAGTGACGAAGTGAAGATGCTTACTTTCGGTTTAGCAGCAGGCACACCATCACCTTTATACCTACCACATCCTACATTTTTGTGTTGTTTTTGTTGCATATACAAATGACATGACGGGTCTTTTGGCAGTGTTGCTTTAATAGCCCAAAGCACTGAATTGTAATGGAAAACGACTGAAACCGAGTAGAATCAAGTGGAGAAGGTACTAGTGGAAAAGAGGCATATGTAGCAGTGCTATATATGCCTCCTGCTTTCCTGTCCATTCTGTGTTTATACTGCACTGTAAAATAACGGCCCAAAAAATGCCAAAGATGAGATTTAACTTGTGATTTTGTTTAATAGGATAAAACTGACAGTTTGTATAAATAAATGTAATTTTTGCTTATACAGTTTGTGTTTTTCCTTTCTGCATAACAATAACTGAAAACTGTGATGGTGTTACATTAAATCTCTACTGTAAATAAAGGAAACAGCAGTTATCACTGTACACTCAAGTTGCCTGATGATTAGAGCTCTGAAAGGAGCCTGTACAAACAAACACCACACACCAGTTTAAATTTAGGGGTCCTTGTTTAGCCGTAATTTGTGGACAACAGAATTTTAATTTCCGTCGCAGATTGGCTCCTCCATCTTAATCTCTAAATAGCGAATCATCTGGAGCTCAGATTGGAGCAGCTGTAAAAATCTCACTGTGTTTTAATCAGAGCCAAAAGAAAACAAATAAATAAATATACCTTTTGGAGGATGAGTGGGCACTCCAGGCCGCATTTGCAGGTTCCATCTGTCAGCAGGTAGGTCCTCACCTGCTCCAAGCTGGACAGCACCGAGCCACTGGGACTGCACACAGAGAACAACAACAAGGTGAGGCTGAAGCTGAAGCTGGCAATGATCCACAGCAAAAATGCTCCTTCTGGGAAGCTTACTGAAACACCCGTTTGAAATAAGATTCAACATTTTTAGACTGGAGCTCCTGAACACTGATCTTTAGTGTTAACGTGGAAGAAGAAAAGAAACACGATGGACACAAACTTTTTTTCCCCTTCTCTGAGGCAGGTTAGCAGCTCCTTCAGACTGTTTTTGGATAGTAGTTAGCATGAAATCAACCGCGGAGGAATAATCTCCATCTCCATGTATTAAAACACCTGACCTGAACAATATATATGCACTTTACATGAAGACGGAAAATAATTGTCATTTACTTTCTCTTCATTTGTCTTTCCTCAAGGGAAATTGTGAAAATGTGGTTGTCTTAATAATGTGCTTCCCCTTTTTTGCTACATTTAGGCATAGTCAGGACAACATGAGCATCATAATGGTAAAGGAAAGGTGATTTAAGTGACTTAATGTGGCAAGGTTATTGGTCTGGGTATTTCAGAAACCATCACTAGAGTTTAGAGAAGATGACCTAAAAAAGAGAAATTATCCAGTGAGCGGCATTTCTCTGGGAGAAAATATCTTGTTGATGTCAGAGGTCAGAGGAGAAAGGCCAGACTGTTTCAAGCTCACAGGAAGGTAGCAGTAACTCAAACAACTACTCATTACAACCCAGATGTGCAGAAGAGCATCTCTGAATATGGATCTAATTCTCCAGTGCCTTGTTTAATCTATGACATGAAGCATTATGGCAGTTCTGGAGGCACACATTATGCAAAGTGTATCTAATACTTCAGTACACTTCTGTGAGCCATTTTGTGTACAGAAGCTACGCAATCAAGGACTTTTATTGTGAAAGGATGGAACACATGCACAGGACAAATTGGGTTTCTGGGTGATAATTGTTTTTAATCTAGGCCTAATATGCCTTTGTATCTTTACACTGGTTAAAGAAAGGAGAAACTTAGACGTATAGGTTATTATGCAATGTTCTTACTAGTCGCGGCAGCTTGAGATAAAATTAGCCTGCATGTGGCCCATGTAATAATAAAAGGAGTCTGACACCCCTGGATGAAACACTAGAACGAGCTTTAACCAAAGACAGATATAAAAGGGGGTCTCTATGCACTCGAAGGCTGGCACAAAGAAACTACCTCTAAAGAAGAACAGTATGTACCGCTGGTAGTTCCTATCAAACATATACAGTGGCTGGTTGACAAACCAGCCAAAGACTGAATCATCAATCACTGTGGCTGTGAAAAAGAATGAAAAAAAAAAAATCAACTGTGAGGATCATCCCTGAAGCAAAAGCATGCTTTCAAATGTAAAAGAACATCAGCAAATACAAGTGTGCTGTGACAGTATCAGGCCACGGTCACAGACAGGATTCTTTCCAACACCCAAAATAAACCTGACACCAGCCAACTGCTTCGGTTCATTGTGGTTGGTGAGCGCACGTGCCGGGAAGGACACCAAGTCACAGCCTACAAGGATTCGACTCATCGGAGGAGACCGACGAGTAGCAGTCGCTTTGTTAGTCATTTCACTGTCTGCAGCTTACCGGTGTCCGTGGGCTGATCAGTGGAGAAATTTGTGTGTCTAGTTCATGCCAAATGGAAACTAAATCAGGTGACTGTGACTGGACACAGGAAGCATCATCATCAAAGAGTTGCCATGCTTCTGCTCATCGATCAGTTAGAGAAACTCTACCCTGTGTGCACAGTAAACAAGCCTGCTGGGTGCTTTTTGAATTCAAATGACTGGGACCAAAACCTGACGCTTACCTTTGATACATGACATCAATCACCTCCGTTGTTCGTGAACACACTTTTAGTCATGATATAGACTAGGGCTGCACGATTTGCATGAAATGAGAATCACGATTTTTTGGCTTAGAATTGAGATCACGATTCTCTCACGATTTTCTTTTCCAGTATAAATATTTATTGCACTTATTAACTGCACATCAACTTCGCAACAGTTGAGACTGAACATAAAAACAACAAATGTCTCACGTTTTGTTGTTGCTGCAAAATGTTGTACTGCTTGAAATTCCGTCTCCACCGTTGCTCGACGCTGCGTGTATAGAGCAGGTAGTGCAACAATAGAAAAAAACAGTTGCGGGACGGCACTGTGTAGCGTTTTTGTCTAGGGTGTTGATCATTTTCCTAAATCCCTCGTTCTGCACAGTGTTGATGGGAGCCATATCTTTGGTCAGGTGATAAGTAATAGCCTCCGTAATTTCTTTGTGCCTGCGGGAGTTCGACGTGTATAGGGAAGCGCTGTATAAGGTTCCCGTTATTGATGTTTGGGTGGTTGACCGGGACGGATTTTCTCCTGTCACTTTCTCGTCATCCCTGACGTGCTCTCCGTTGTTTTTTCCCTGCTAATTTTAGCATCACACGGCACAGCTTCTGTATCACGTGGTATAAGGCTCCGCCCTTGTCATTTGTTGAGCAGGAAGAGTGAGCGCTTGTTTTCATGCAGATTACGTCCCGGACCAAAATGCGGTACAATCGCCGTCTTTTTTTTTTTCTTTTTTTAAAAAAATCATTGTCATTTGGAAATGAGATCGCACATAAGTATGAATCGAGATCGCGATTTTCTAACGATTAATCGTGCAGCCCTAATATAGACTAGTGGTAATAATGAGCTGATAGATGTGGCGACAATTTTCATTTCTTCTTGACTCTTATAGGAACAAAATGATGCAATTTAAGATTGATTTAAAAAGACTGATAATCGATTGGTGGACGCCAGGGGTTAGACTTTCAGCCATTTAGCCCCACACATACACTCATTAAGAACATGACTGTCATGGTAATTTGGGGCAAAACAAGTTTGGATTTTTTTAATAATCCACACAGGCTCAAATATATACATACAGGCTCAACATCTTTTAATAAGTGGTGCTGAAGGTTCTATGATGTCTCAACTTGCCTTTTTCTTTTTAGTGATCACAATTGACTAAAACTGGTAATTTCTTTGCAGCACGGAAAGGATTTGTTTAACAGCCCTTATTGGACTTACAAATGCTCAGAACAGTGGGGGAAGTCTATTGTAGCGGTCCCCAACCCCTGGGCCTCATCCGTGAGTCATTTGGTACCATGCCGCAAGAGATGAGGCTCGGGTGTGAAATTTATGGTTTTCAGGGTTTTTATCGGTTTGGTATCGTCATTTTTTATTGTTTTTATCATTAACTCTGTTTCCCTGAGTCTTTTTCCATGTTTTATGAATAAATCTTCTTTTTTTGGTAATGGTACTGGCTTTATTTTGTTGTATTTATGCGCGACACCTTGAACGTCCGTGAAAATGTCGTCAGACATAAACCGGGCCGTGGTGCAAAAAAGGTTGCGGACCGCTGTTCTAAGGAACTCACTGAAGATCTAAGAAGGAGAATTGTAGATTTACACAAGTTAGGAAGGTCTAAATAACTGCAGACTCGAAGATCATCAGTTCAAACAATTGTAAGTACAAGGGGAGGGGGACTGGCAGTTTTTGTGAACGACAGATGGTGTAACCCTGGGCACATCACTGTGAAAGAACAACTCTGCAGCAGAGACATTGAGCTGTTAGCCGTTAGCATGCGTCCGTA